TTTCACTTCAGTTATGCTGATTAATTTGTTTGTGCCATTGCTCTGTGCAGTAATTTGCCATGATGCAGATGGCCTCCTTGTTAACATAATCACGCTGGCCCTCAGGAGGACAGCAGGATATCATATAGCTACGGAGATAATTCCCACCAAGATTTGATGGTAATTGCTGTCTCCGTTTTTTGTTCAAAGAATCGTGTTTTTTAAAAGCACTCAGCTTCATTAGAGAAGAAACAGCAAGAAGCACCACTCTTGATCCAGACCTAGACTGACTGTAGACTTGCAGCTTGTGTTTTTATTGATCGTCTACATGACTCAGACTGGCTGATAAAAGCTTAGGGACAATAAAAGCCTCCCAAAGACTGCAGTGGATTAAAGCTTCTCTGATTTTTTTTAAAAACCTCTCCCTTATCCTTGATGATGGATCATACTGTGCACCTGCAAGACAGGTGTGTGACTTCAAATCAACGTACAGCAAGCTGCGGTAGCCACAGCGGGACCTCCACCGGATCAATACCAATGCAGTTTAGCATTCTGAATCAGCCTTAAGCCTGAATGGAGCAAGTGTGCATGTAAAATACTCTGAATCATCTCCAACCAACTCAGCAAGGTCAGATGTTTTGGGTTTTTTTTTAGTTTCCTTTAGCAGTAGCCTTAAAGTAATGACACTGAGAACTGTTATTTGCTAAGTTGAGAGAGAGCCTACTGCCAGAAAAGTCCAATGTGTTTTGACTGTGTTTTTTGGTTTTAAAGTGTCCACAAGGAATTTTCACTGGCTACATAACCGTCTCAATTTAATACAAATGCGCAATAGTTGCACCCTGAGATAAACAAAGTTTAGCTTTAGGAATGCAGCACATTCAGGCAGCAGGTATCTGTTCTCTCCTCTGTGCAGTCTAAGGTAAAATGTGGAGGAGAAGTTGATTCAGTGCAGGGCTTCTCAGAGCTTTAATTATGATACATCTCAAGGACAATATTTTAATACACATTTTAAAAAACACCTGGATGAAAATCAGCTACAAACTCATGATTTCTGGTAGGAAGGCTATGATACAGTGCTGGTTATGGTTACTTCGCAACTTCAGGCGCAACCTGCCTCCGTGGTCTTTAAATTTAAGGACAAGAGTAGCACCTAGCGCCCAACCTCACATTTTCCAGGTGGTAAAGGATGCAGCAGGTGTCCCAGCTCTAATCCTCTGGAGACAATGGCCAATATTTCAGGGGCTCCAGTGTAGTCAGCGGATAATTTGATAGCCGATCAAAACTTCCTCTTCTGTGTGCTGGTCATTGTTCACAGTCTGATTAGCAACTTCAAACACAAGAATGGAGTTGGGATACAACGTCTATGACCATATTGTTTCTCTGCATTCATACGCACATATCTATTTATAGAGATTAATAAAAAGCCTACAGCACCGTTTCCACCAAACACTTTTGGCGTGGTACCTTTGGAACCAAAAGTAACCCTTCAGACATGGTACCTAGACCCTAGCGTTTCCATCGCTAACAGTACCTTTAAATGTGGGCAGTGCTGTTGTCACTCACTGCTCCATCCAGCTCTCACTGTTTTTCCTCATCACTGGATACACAGAGGGAAGTCTGCACCTCATTTATCATCCACAGAATGAGGCTGCATGCCAACACTTTCAGAACAGTATAACACAGGCTGCAGTGAGAGTCTCTCTCCATGGGATATTTACAAATAATGGGTTTGTGCATTTAGTCCTTCTAAGGCAAGCTCTGGGGTTTAGTATTATCGGAGCCCACAGGAACAATGCTCCACGATACTTTTTTTTTCTTCTCTGAGTGAGGATTAGAATATATGTGGTTTACATAACCCGGTCAAAATGAATGTGTATAAACACTTAAAAGTCCAAAAAATATCAAAGGAGGCCAGCACTCACAAATGTCCTTTTAAAGATCTTTTTATCTAGGCAGCAGAGCAAAAAACAACGGATGCGTTGTTAAAGTGAAACTTATGGTGTGTTGATTGATTCATGTCATCAACACTGAGAAACATTACAAGTCAACCGTCGCCGACAGTCGGCCCAGTAAATTAAGTTATTTTTAACTCTGACTCCAGCTGCTGCAAGAGGCAGCAAAACATCCTTTCCATTTATAGTTACATATTAGTAATAAAACTCTCCACAATATGAACAGTGGTTACATAAGCCCCAAAACCAGCCACAACTCAGCCCTGAGCAGAGTGACCGTCCGCTATTGACCAATCAACAGACTGCAGTGTTTACAGCTCCACCTTTTAGTACCAGATCTGTGTGCCCCAAGGGGGGGGGGGGGGGGGCAAAAATGGGGACGGTATAGAATGGTTCCATTGGTACCATCCACAGAGTGGAAACGGAAAAATGCGTACCAAACTACACAGAATTGTACCATACTGCTCAGTGGAAACAGGGCTTAATTGTCTTCAGACAATAGCCGATGGGTTGAAAGATGCATTTTGGCCAATGTGTTCTCCAAATGGACTGTTTACCTGCATGCAACCAAAGCCTGCTCTAATGTGATTGTTCAATACTACTCAGACAATACACAGACTACAAATGGACACCTGATAGTAGTAGTGGGTAGAGAATTGAAAATCTGTACTCCAATAAAAGTAAAATGACTTCCATAAAAAAATGAGTCACGTCAAAATAAAAATTGCAATTTCAAAAAAAAATAGTTACTTTTGTTTTAAAAAAGCAGTTGTTGCTAAAACTTTTTTTATGAAGTACAGGTAGGTTATGACTGAACAATTTAGCAATATCACACAAGAGGGAGTGGAGCTGAGCGCTAAAGAAAGAAAGTCACAGCTGTGTTGACATTCAGCACAATAGCATGACCTCGAGTGTGACACTGCGTTTATACAACGGTTCCACAAGCATCACTTATGAATTAACAGCCAGTGGCAACCTCCGAGACTGAAAAATGAAACCAGTGCAGAAGTGCCAAAAACTGTAGTTTCTCAAATGGCTGTGAGTCAGTCCCCATAGATCCACCTGTTAAAATTCCCAACTGCCCACTAAACATGTTTACAGCCTTGTTGAAAAATGGTTTTGGTCTCTACAGCTAATTTCCTCCTTTATGACAACCGTACATGGAGTGAATTTTTATATAACTCACTTGTATATACTTTATCAAGGCTTAAAGTTGAGTGAGAGGTTGTCTGTGAGGTGTCCCCACAGTCTGAGTTTGCGCCACCCTCTCATCCAAATATGGTCACTTGCAACTTATAACACATTACTACCTAACCCTGAATGCTTCTGAATGCCCGTTGCCTACAGATTCTGTATACATATGCAGATATCTTTTCATAGAGATTACCAACTGAGAATAGCTCCAGTAACCTATCCTGTTACTGGTCCACTGTGTAAGATTTAGGAGGATTTAGCGTCATCTAGTGGTGAGGATTGCAGACTGCAACCAGCTGAAACTTCTCCTGGTTAGAATTCCTTCCTTTGTTGTTCAGGAGGTTTTACCGGGAGCTGAATTACCAGGTGATTTAAACCAGACATTACAAATCATTGTTACTCCGATGCTGTTTGGCATGACAGCGATGGTTTATTCATCCAGCGCCTGCTAATCTGTGCTCACCTTTACTCTCTGAGAACTTAAGATCCAGATGTTCAAGAGGTTTTTACCGGGAACTGAAAAATTTGCAGTTTTCTTCCTTGCCAAAACAAATAAACCAGGTGATTTAAATGGGTAGAAACACTGAATAAAGCAGTTTCATGTTTAAAAAAAAATCTGTGTTTTTCCAATGCTCTAGTCTCTGGTGGGCTGCTAACTACAAAGGCCAATGTAAAAACGCAAATGGTCCAATCTAGAGCCAGTGTTTGGTTCGTCCATTCTGGGCGACTACAGAAATAAAGCAGTGCAACATGGCGAGCTTTGTGGACAAGGACCTACCCCCTATGTAGATACAAACGGGTCATTCAAAGGTTACAAAAAAACAACGATTCTTATTTTCAGGTGAGTATACACCAAAGAAAAACAATTTCTGCCGATACATCCCTGTAAATCTTACACACTGGACCTTTAAAGCATGTGGAAAACAAAAGAAGTAACAGCCGAACAGCAGCAGAACATATGACATATCCTACATGTTATTAAGTTACTATATTGGGATCTATTGACAGCTATATTTCCTTGTATGTGTCAACGTAATTGGCCAACAAAGTTGACTCTGATTGTGTTTCTGTTGAAGTAAAGATGTAATTGGCAGTAATCACGCAGTAATCAAATCCAAATCACAATAACAGACTTGAGACTTGACTCTGACTTTGATTTGGTGACGTCTGAACGTCTCTGGGTTTGCTGAGCTCATCGGAAACAGTCCTCAGCCTGAGGGGACACGACCGGTTTACTGTCGCTGGATGATTTTTATCTGCCTTCCAATGGCTCTATATCTTCATTTAACTCCAATTAGACTTGTTAAGGGACAATTAATCATTAATTAACCAAGGGAGGTGGGTGGTAAATATTTACTTATTCATCATACACATTTCTTGTTTTGCTCCTGATTATTTTATGAGCCAATTTTCGTATAATGTGTGTGCGGCATTCTAATCTAACGGGGCTGGCGTTCCTGATTGCACATTCATCATGGATGTTTGACCATAATCTTTTCTCCCTGCCTCAGACAGTCTGTTGATAAAAATCCAGCAGAGAGCAGGGACCACAAAGTTAATAGACTATCACTCCCCCTAAGAAGAACTGATTGTACTATTCAGGAGGGTCACATACGCAGTCAGAGGGGTCGCCACAAAAGCCAGAACAAAAGAAAAACTGGGGGTAAAGTGAGTGAAGCGAAAGAGTGTATTTTGAGTTCTGCGGGTTAATTCAGAGCCTTTCAGCTACAATTGCTATGTCTAAACATTCATGAGCCGTAGAGGGTTGAAGGGAGGGAGGTAGGGAGAGAGAGAAGCGAAGGGGAATGGATGGAGCAACAGCACAGCGCTCAGACACAAGAGGGAGAGCTGGAGAGGCAGCTGCTGTGTGAGCTCGTCCACAACGCTCTGAGCAGGTAGAGCGAGCGCGGGCAACAGAGGTAGAGAGAGAAAGAGGGAGAAGAGGGAGGGAGGGAGGAAGTCTTGTCTTTTCACCTGAAGATTACTTTGTCTCACACTTCTTTCACCCCGAGCGCTGGAAGGAGCAGCGAGGAAGGGAGCAGAGTTGATCAGGAGGTGCCAGATCTTGCTCTCTGGTCTTTTTTTTAATTTATTTTTTTCCTCTCTTCTGCACCGGGGTCAGCTGGACCTCTTCTCTGCAAAACCCCGGTGATCAGCATCCACTGGAAAGACTGAGAAATACAAACCGGTGCATCAGGGAGAGAAGACGAAAGAAAAAAGTGAGGAAACTGCAGGAAAAGGCTGCACAGGAAGAGAAGTTTGAAAATCTTTTGAAGGTAGGATTTATTTGTTTAATATTTCTGTGTTAAAATGCATCTGATAAAACTGCACCTCAACTGGTGAATGTGACTGCTTAGATCTGGATTAACATCAAAATCCCCATCATAATCTTGATTTGTTGCACAAAATGATCAGAACAACCTGTTACAAGGTAAGTCTTTAAATGCTGCCTTTTAGTGCTCGTCTTTTATCGATGCATGTGCTGCAAGCACAAATATAATTTATTGACTTTTTACAGCAATTTTCACTTGTTATATTTGGTTGAGCCACATGTGGTGAAAATGCTTTGACAAGATAAATTGGAACAGGAATAAAAACAGAAAATGATTAACAAGGAAAGAAAAGAAAAATCAGAAAAAGAGAGAGAGGTGGATCCGTGGGAGAAACAGGGGGTCAGAATGAACAGTGGGGAGGCAGAGAAAGATACATGAGTGTGAAGGAGAGTTGGACTGAAAAAGACAGATAGAGAGAGTAAAAGAGGAATAAGAGGAGGAGGACTGGAGTGGCGGGGGGCTCGCTGGCAGCCAACTCAGTAACCAAGGCAGCTGACATGAGGGAGAGCCAACAGGGGACAGTGGGATTTCTATTTTTCACCCTTGCCGAGATACGCCGGGGCTCTGCCAAGTCCCCTGCCTCATCCCCCACGGATAAAGATTTCATTGTGCGGAGCTGTGACCGAATTCATTAAGCATCTACATGTACTCTCTCCTGGCTGCTCTTACTCTCTTACGCTCTCTTTCCTCCCCGAACTCCCTCTCCACTCGCACTCTCCCGCTGATACTCACTCTCCCCCGTCTGCTCCTCCCCTCATGCTTTCATTATATTCTCAATTGGCCCTATAATCAGCTCGACTCGTGTTGCATCAACAGTTGTATTTTGTAAAGCCCTGCGGTGAATGAGAAACACACATGGTATGATTCTTAAGGGGGGATTTCTATCATTTCTACTTTTGGCAAGACCCAAAGTTTATCAACCTTGGTGCATCAGCCGAGGGTCACAGTAGATTTAATAGATGGAAATTCTGTGACTTTGCAGGCATTGTGGGACTTTGGGGGAATTTTAGGCCAGTAAAGGGCTGTGAAATCTGGTTGAACTGCAGAACAAAATTACCTCCAGAAGGATGTGATAACACTGAAGTGCTTTTCTAAATAATTTTATAACAACACTGGATCACAGGATTATCTGCATGTGAGAAGGGGTTGTTTGTAGTGACAACCCCACAGAGCATTATCCCTCTGCAGTTACCCTCAGCTCTGTGGATCTTTTTAGTGTCTTTCAGCTCATTGTTTTAGTTTTACAGCCTGCAGCATTTCTGTTCTGCTCCTATATTCAGTCCCTCCAGGTTGTTGTGGGCTGTTTTTGGGATTGTTGCAACCTGATATGCCTGATTTCATGGCAACTGTTCTACAACATTGCAATTCATGTTGCAATGTTTATAGGCATTTATTCATTTATTGCAATAAAATTGCAAGGGCATGTGAAAATTGCAAATATAGTTGTAATGCTGTCTCAGATTTGGAGCATATTATTATGAACATTTAGGGTTTTTTTCCCCACAGAATTAGAATCTATTTGTAATGTTATGGTGGATGGGGGCAGCTTGGACAGAAGCCCCACAGCAGCGGGTAACATTCGACACCCAATTGGCTTGACTCTGACTTTACTGTCTGTCTGACTGTTGGGTGACGTTAGCCGTAAGATGCTAACAGTTAGCCCTGTTATTGTGTGTGTGTGTGTGTGTGTGTGTGTGTGTGTGTGTGTGAGTGACTCCATCCTCCCATGCACAGAGCTCCATTCCTGCAACAGTAGTGTCATAATTAACAAAGATCGGGCAGTGATAGGACACAATTGCAAGTTCGCTATAATTTGCATTAACTGTTGCAAACACAACATCCTTTAGAGACTGTATATTTATTTTCTAGGAACAGCAGGCAGCTGTTTCCAAAGGTCTGATAAAACAACTGTTACCTGCCCAGCACCAAAGTCACTCTTTTTTCTTTCTTTTTTTCTTGCAGTTTTCTTAGAACAATCACAGTTTATTTAAAGGAATACTTAACACCAGAATAACCATTTGTCAGTCAGTCAATCAGGTACTCACCCTGTGTTACACTGAATTCTTGAAGAAAACTGGTTTTCTCCATGGTGAACGAAGAATCCAAAAACAGAAAAGTGTGATGAATTTGAGTAAAAGGCGGCTGCATTCATTAACGGCAAAACTATATCAACACATCTGTTTACAAACTCTCACACAATTCGTGCAGTATAATCCAAGTCTTATTCATCCAGTTGTATGCTCAGTGCTTCCCACATGCTAAACACATGCTTTTTTGCTAAAACTTTACGTTGTAAAACATGTGCGCATCTGTGCATGACACTGTTAGTGCTAAAGTGTTTGAAATTGTGAGGTTTTAGCAAAACTGCATGTGTTTAGGAAGTACTGAAAATACAACAGGGTAAATGAGATATGGATTATACTACACGAATTGAGTTTGTAAACAGATGTTGTGACATAGTTTGCCTTTTACTTAAGAATTACATCAATAATTTTCTCCGTTTTTGGATTCTTCGCTCAAAGGCGTGCAAGGAAAACAAAGTTTTCTTCAAGAACTCAAGGTAACATGGGTGAATAACTGATATACAAATGGTCATTTTGGGGGTGAAGTATTCCTTTAAGAGGTCATACTGAATACAAGGATACCATATTAGAGAGGGGGATGACTAGGGTTGGAGAAAGCTAGATTTAAATGGTTTTTATATGTGTTCAGTGGACATATCATAGTCTTTTCATGCCCTTCCAAGTCATCATCTCTTTAGGTAAAATGCTGATGAAAGGCTCCTTATTGTTTCCAGGATGTGAGACACTTCGCTTGTGGTGAAATCAATAGCCCAGTAAATTCTTAATTGAATGACTGCAGGGCCTGGAGCCTGATGGTGCTTTATAGGCTACCAGAAGGCGCCTTTGAGAGCACGCGGAATAACAAGGACCCTGCCGGCATTGTTGTGGTCTGGGAAACAACGTCATGTCAATCAGCCAAGCCTGGCAGGCTTCAGCAGCAGATGGAGGGTGCTAGTGCTTGTACACCTGCCATGTTCCGCTTGAGCCAAGGCTGGTGTCACATTACCTCCAATTAGCCTTTGTTCCTTTGAAACACTTTTTTGATCATTATGCAAGGACTGGTATCAGAGATGTCATCATGGTGATTGAAGACAAAAACCACCCTCAGGGTAGAAACATAGTTGACATGGAATGGACATATGTCGAAATGAGATGTATGTCTTCTATACACGAAACACTGTCATTGTGTTTTGTAGCAGAGCAAATCTTTTTGTTAGAGCTGTAACTCATCTGTTTGAGCTGCGGATAGATTGACTGACCTCGGGGCTCTTGTAGCCACTTTAACTGAAGCAGAAGACTACAATGCATACTTTTGGTCAATTTGCTGAGTGTCATGCTTGTGTCATGCTGCAGAATCCCACCTAGCACTTTGTTAACCAGTTTGTCCACAACGGCAACAGTGCAGATGTATAATAGCAGAAATTGTTCACTGAGGAAGCATTCTGTTTTCTTTTAGGCTTTTGATTTTCTTGGATAGGAGAGTATTTAAGCTTGAGAGGGGGACAGAGAGGGGATGACATGCGGCGAGGGGCCGCTGGCTGGAATCAGACCCGCTGCTGCAAGGACATGGCCTTTGTACATGGGGTGCCTGCTCTACCCACTGAGCTACTGGGTGCCCCAGTATTCTTTTAAACTGAAATGAAGGGAAGTCTTTGAGGATTTAACAGTGTAAGTAAACCAACAAAGGCCAAATATTTTCTTTTGCTCATAAGGAATTCTTGTTTCTGCCTTGTTTTAATGGAAAGTAGTAGATAGCACATGAGAAAATTTCAATACATGCGCCCACAGAAAAGCTGCTGGGACAGACAGGAGACAACTGCCCTATAAATTCCTGTGAGTTTACGAAACCACCGTTCCAATCCACACCAAACAATCCAAACTAAGTTGTCTACTTAACTTTACTAAATGGTTACAGGTGCATTTTGCCAGAGTGTATTTTGTTCCAAACTATAGTAAGGTTTATGTTGCATTCACATGGAATCAGGCAGATGACAGGCAGCAAACCGGATATCATTTTTGCGGGTAAGAGCAGAACAGTAAAATTTGGTGAGGCCAGCACATACAGGCAACAGTAACAGCAGACAACACTGCTGTCCAGAGTTAAATCATTTTGACTTTTTACTGTACTCCATGATGGAATTTACAACCGGACTTACGTAGCTCTTTCACACAAGAAGAAAATGCTGGAGAGCTGGACAATTAGGGGCGTTACTACAATAATTACATATAATAATAGACACAAATAATTTTTTTTAGGATATATTCCAGTCTTTGTGAACAATACAACACCACCATCTTAATATATTGTCATGTGAGTTTCATTTTGTCGCCCTGCCATTCTGTTAGCTGTGTTGTTCAGACTCTGTTTCCCATCTGCCTGATTCCATGTGAACACAGCGTTAGAAATATGAACAGTGTAGCAAAAGATGTCTGAACCAGTGTTGTAGTCAAGACCACCTACCCTTAGACTAAGTCATGACCAAGACCAGAGAGTATCAAGACTTAAATAAGACTCTGAGGGGTTGAGACCAAGACAAAACCAAAACCAACCAATGTATAAAAACACCAACAGAAAACAAATGAAGCTTTATCCACCTAGTTTTTATCGCCGTACCGTATATATGTATAAGTGGACCATGACAAATGGCTTGATAAAACAATAAAAAGGCATGGAGGCGAATCTTATGTATTCCTTGGTTGTCTACAAGCAGAGAAATGCAAATACATTAAGGGGTTGAAATCAACTTAACCATCTTGATTGGGGTCCACGTCATTGGTTCGACAGCCCATTGGTTCGACATCCCATTAGTCCGACTGTCCGCGGTGCTGAACGGCTCGCAGCGGGCGTATGGTGCGCTGCGACCGGCTTGAGGCGGAGCA